CAGACCCTACAATGAGAGGCTACGGGACCTGAACCTGTTCAGCCTTCACAAGAGAAGGCTGAGGGGGGACCTTGTGACTGTCCATAAATTCACTAGGGGGGACCAGAAGGGTTTGGGGGAGACCTTGTTTCCCCCAGCACCCCCCGGGATAACAAGAAATAACGGCCACAAGTTGTTGGAGAGTAGGTTTAGATTCAATATCCATAGGAACTACTTCACAGTTAGGGAGGCTAGGATCTGGAACCAACTTCCAAGGGAAGTGGTGCTGGCTCCTACTCTGGGGGTCTTTAAGAACCGGCTCGATGCCTACCTGGCTGGGGTCACTTGAGCCCAGTTTCTCTCCTGCCCAGGCAGGGGGTCAGACTTGAAGATCTACAAGGTCCCTTCTGACCCTACTTCTATGATTCTATGATTGTAATTCTTTTAATAGACTAAAGTCAACTCTTCAGTGTGATTATCAGCTCAGTTGTTTAACACGTCACACTCTCATCATCCAACCTCCAAGTACTTCTCAGAATGGCAGCAGAAGGTTGGGTCACAAAATATTGCCTGTGTAGAGCAATTCTGAAAGTGGGCAAGCTTAACAAAACTCTTCCTATGTCATTCAGAAAGAGACTGCCTCTTTTCTCAAAGTGCGAACCTCCTACAGGATTTCAAATTTGGTTCCAGTAACATTCCATGCATACATACTACAAAGGATTTGACAAGCATTTAGCAACACCCTGTAGTTGAGGTTGTTGTATGGATGTTGTTGTCCCGAAGGAGCATCAGAAGTCATTCTGCCACAGAATGTCTCCCAAAACTCCTTGTTTGTTGAAAGGGGAGTACGGTCCATTATCAAAATTTAGAAAATAGAATAGCTATTAGATGGGAAAATTCATTAATAGTTAATTTGGCTCCAGTATCTGATTGTGCCTGAGACAAAACATGGGGCTTGGGATAAAGAAAAAAGGTACTGAGCTGTCCAACACTGATCATGTCTGTTCTGTGCCCAACCTTTGTGTCCTGCAGGCCAGGTGAGCCTCCATGGGCCAGATCCAGTCAATGGGCCCAATCTGGCTTCAGGAGCCTGCACAGCCTCACCTCAATCCCTCGGCCCAGGGCAGGGGCAGGAAAGAGCATCCCCAATCTGGACATGTTGGGAAGGTGGGGGAGGCAACCTGGTCCTGGTCCCAGCCTGGATGCCTGGGGTGGGTTTGGGCAGGGCAGACCTGATCTGGATGTTCTGGGGAGGAGAATTAGCTTGGTCCTGGTCCTGGTCCTGTTCCTGGTCCTGGTCCTGGTCCCAGTCTGGATGCATGTGGGGAGGCAGAGTGGGGTGGAGCAATCCTGATCTGGGTTTGCAGGTGGGGGCAGGAACAGCCTGGCAAATCTGGACACACAGGGGGTGGCTTGGCCTTGATTCTGCTATATGTTCTCCTCTGCCAAATTTCCAACCTGTGGGGAGCCCCACAGGGCCAGATGTTATGACTTTGCAGGTGAGAGGTTGAGCACCTCATGGCTAGTGTGCTTTTAGGGCTTTTATAAATTAGTCATTTTTAATTACATTAAAAAAAAGAAGGCCAAAGAAGAAATCACACTTGCTTAAAAGCAGCTGTTTAGATCAGTTGATTAGAGGTGGTGTTACTAGCACCAAGGTCACAAGTTTGATCCCTGGTTGGACTAGATGATCCCTTGGAGTCACTTCCAGCCTTACTTCTCTCTCTGAGTAGCTTACTAAAGGTCTGTGTTCTAATGTTTAAGCAATGGTGTTTTGCACGATTAAACAAATTGCTAAGTATTTTTTGTGATACAAGTTGAACATGATTTCCTCCACAGGACGTAACAATTGCATCAGCCTGTGCACCTCCTGGCGGTGGTCGTAATCCTGTAACACCACGGTTCATAAGACATTTCGCCATGCTGTGCCTTCCAACGCCCTCAGAGCATAGTCTCAAACAAATTTTTCAGGTCAGTAACAACTTCTGTGTGGCCATAAGGAATAGAAAACAAATTCATCTGTGCATCATGTCATGCCACAATCTGGTCCAACATTAAACAAGTTCTTAGTAAAATATGCCACTTTTTCAACTTATGAAGTCTTAGGGTGAATTGAAAAGCTTTAGAAATCAAGGGGAGACTTTCCATTGCTTTCAAAGGATGTTGGATCAAACCTATAGACACAAGAAGAGTATGTTTAAAAATATTAGCCTTTAAACTAATTGTTTTTATTCCAATTTTGTTTAGTATATTTCTATTTAAATGTAATCTTTAATATTTCCTTTCTCCCCACCTTAGTTTCTGGAAACACTACATTAACTGGCTAAAAATTGTTCTCTGATTCAATAGCTACCCCTCGTAGTTAAGCAAAAGCAAGGATGGCACAATATTGATATGTATTGTATCATTTTCTCCCAGATCACTGGCAGTAACCTCAGAACAGGATTTTCCCATAGCACAGGTCTGGTGCTGCAACCCCTTGCTCACACAAGAAATAAGTCTCATGGAAATTGGCCAGACCTGAATAATGGGTGCAGGCTTGAAGCCGCCAAAGGGTGGACCTTTTTCTATTGATTTGGATTAAACAATTAATCTGTTAGCTTCTTTTTGGCAACAGGTTTTATAGTTCTGCATATTTATATGTATCAGATGTCCCTTACAAATTTTTAATGTGCTTGAACTTTCTTTGGTGAAACCAGAGTATTCTCGTTTCAGTCACATCTGACTGACTGGGTGGTTTGGCTTTCTTGCTTGAGGTCAGGTGCAGGGAGGAAGTAAAAGTAGATTTCTCCTTTATCCCTTGCTCATTCTGGGCTGTCCTTGCTGTTTGTGCAGACACAAAAATAATTTAGTGCAGTCCCTGAGGCTGTTTAACTTATGGCTGCTTTTTGTGGTTCTGCAGTGGAGAAGAACACGAAGTACTCCAGCTACTCATGTTATCCTCCTGCACATGTTTACATTGAGTCAGTGTGGAATGCTCAGCATTTGGGAAATCTTTAGTGACATTTGGGGGAGACCTTGTTTCCCATAGTGCCCCCTAGCACTCCCCGAGATAACAAGGAATAACGGCCACAAGTTGTTGGAGAGTAGGTTTAGATTAGACATCTGTAAGAACTACTTCACAGTTAGGGAGGCTAGGATCTGGAACCAACTTCCAAGGGAAGTGGTGCTGGCTCCTACCCTGGGGGTCTTTAAGAAGAGGCTTGATGCCTACCTGGCTGGGGTCATTTGAGCCCAGTTTCCCTCCTGCCCAGGCAAGGGGTCGGACTTGAAGATCTACAAGGTCCCTCCCGACCCTACTTCTATGATTCTATGATTTATAGGCATCTAAAATGGATTTTAGGTACTCCCCATTTAAAGTTCTGGACTTAAAAAATACATTATCTTTACTATTCTTTGTTTGCAATTCTGAATAGCTTTTCTTTAGGATAAATGTTCAGCAAAATTCCTTTAAATCAGTGATGTTGAGCTCATGTGGCATCCCAGCATGGGTCTGGACCTGGAGGTGGCAGTGTGTGGCAGCAGGATGAGCCACATCGTGGAACTGCAGGTGTTAATTAAATTCTCCCCCACTACTGACACATGTCCCCAACCAGGTTCTGTCCCTGGATTTTGGTGTGGGCCCTGCCGCTGTTGGCATACCCCTAAATTCCCAGCTCTTCTAGGAGCCCACAGGCTGTATGTGTGACACCCCTGCTTTACACTATTACAGAAAGGAATCAGAGCTCATCTGAAGAAAAATTAAGCTTCTGTATTCTTGCTGATTAAAGTGAAAGGAAACTACCTTTATATTTTGTTTTACACTGTTTTATTTTGTTGTTGTTGTCCTGGGTATAGGCGATCTTAAAGGGCTTTTTGGCAGATTTCTCTCAAGCAGTAAAGCAGAATGCAACAAACATAGTGGATGCTGCTGTTGAAATCTATCAGAGAATGAGCATTGATCTTCTCCCAACACCGGCTAAATCCCATTATGTATTTAATTTACGTGACTTGTCAAAGTGTGTGCAAGGTAAAATATGTTTGTTTTTAACAAGTTGTTGTTTTCTGATTCTTATACATTACATTTTCAGGGGCTGTTGACCTGTGCCTCCAATGAGGGCTCTGAAAACTCTGTATTTTTTCTGATTTCAGCATTACACCTCCAGGAGTTCCTTCCCCCTATTAGATTTTTTAGAACAAAGTAAATGATTTGCAATGGATGACTGGTCCTTGCAGTTATTTTCTTCTGCTAGGTGCAGCTCACAATTTCCTGTATTATTCACAATTTGAAGAAAGCAGATCCTGCTACTGTGTGAAAGGCAGATGTGGGGTAGTACTCTGTAAGCACCAAGGAAACCCAACTCATCATTTCCAAGTGAGATAGATGAATTAAGTGTGGAACCTGTGTAAGTTCATACTACCTTATTTACTTGGGTCTAAGATGACCCTGACCTTAAGATGACCCCCCAAGTAATTAGATTTAATACATGGAAAATTTATAAATGTGTCCAGCTTGGCTGTGGCCCTGACCCTAGGTAGGGGATGGAGCCTGAGCCACAGCAGCTGCCCCTTTCCCCCACCTCCCCATACTTGGTTCTATGAAGAAGGGCTCTTTTATCCATGTTAAATGAGGGGAAACCTCGTCTTAGAACAAAATAAATACAGTATTTTGCCTCTGTTTGCCTCATATTAAATGTACTCAGTTACTGATGGTGAAAATGGGCAGAAGGGCCCTCAGTCAATGTTGTTAGGTTAGAGTAGTTCCCTTCCCATGCCCCAAGGTGCATAGCAATCATTGAAATATCTCTGTAGCAGCTCAGCGAGCATAGCAAACAAGCAACTAGGGGCATGGCCACATGTAACACCTAGAGTGGTTTAAATGCAGTTTAAACTTAAAAGTCTGTGAAACTGGTGTAAAGCTACCAGGTGCTGTTCAAACTATATCTGGAAAATCATGTACTCTTTCGAACCAGTTCACAGTGTACTAGTCAGTGTTACATGTAGACACCAAGTGTTCCATGACGTGTCTGGTCAGTCCTCCAGGCATCCCATATTGCATCATTCCTCATTCTCTCCACCCCTGCTACAACTCGCCATGCTACAACTGGCAGCTGGAGTTCCACTTCTTCCCTTTTTTTTATCAGTAAGCTCCCTTGTGCTGCCCGTTCAATAAAAGCTATCTTTCTAGCAATCAGCTGTATCCTCACAAACCCTCATCAAACTCCACTTAGTCCCTGGGAACCCAAAAGTGTGGGTCCAAATGCTCCTCCCCTACACATTCCTTGACCATCCTATGTCAGGTGAACACACTGCAGATTTTGGTCAGTTGCAGACCATCGAAGCTTACTGAACTCACTTTTTTTTATTTAACCACACTTGTGCCCCAGCCAGCCCCATCAACGTCTACGTGTGTGCGGCTGAGGAGTAAAAAACTCTGCCATAGGATAGTACTTGTGTTTATGCCAGAGTTAATTAGTTTACTCCATCCTAATGGCCCTGCATGTGTAGTCTCTGAGATGTTTACTGTGGAGCTAATTAGGCAACTGCAGTAAATATCTCATGTAGATATGCCCATGTGTCTTTGGCCTTCTGGAATTTCCCTGTGGTTGGGGACTCTAGATCCATATTAACTTTGATTATTTCAAGCCAGATATAATACCTCCAGATCTGACTCCCGTTTTCTCACTCACATTTGCAATGTATATCTGCATTTGAACTTCTTGAGGCCCTAGAACGTTAGCCATGGCATGTCCAGACCTGGTTGAGGATGTATGCATCCAGAGCTTGCTGGAAATGTGGAAATAGTAATCTTTTATGTTCCTTTCCCTCTTTTGATCTCTGTATTTTGTTCTAAACATCACTTTAGAATTCCATTTTTAAAGATGAATAACAGAACATAAAATGACCCAGAGGAGCAGAACAAATACTCTTAAAAGTATGACACAAGTTACAGACAGTATAAGTGATTATTTAGCTTCCAAAAGAGAAAAACTGGAGGCAATTTAACAGAGCTGCCGAGAAAAGCAGAGTAAAGGATGAGCAGTTCTTCATTCCCATAATCCAAGACTGAGTGGACACTTACAATTCTCAAAGAAACTGAAGGGTTATACATTTATAACTGATAATAAGTTCAACATACGGCCAGCCTGTAGAATTCATAGTTGAAGGGGCTCATCAGTTATAGTGCAATACCATGGCAGGACAGGTTTATTACTACAGATGATAATTGTAGCTATCCAAGCTAAGCCAATAAAAGTAATCAAATCTCATGCTTTCATGGCATAATATGATTGTTTATTGAAGTGAAGAAGGAAACTATTTTTCTATGTCCAATATTACATATTGGGTGTGGTTTATTTGTGCGGGGATTAAACGTCCTCTGAAGCCTCTGACAATTACCAATACTGGTGGCTGGATATTTGATGAGCTGTTTGATCCTTGTGACAAATTTTATGTTCACAGTATTTTAGTCTCTTCATATTTCAACTCAGCAGTTATACAGAATATGTATTTTTAAAACTATATATATAAGCATTGTGAATATTTGTTATAGTACACTTGTTAGTATGAAACAGTTAAAAAAAACTTTGGTGGTTTCTATCTGCATACAATAGGGGTCTGCAACTACAGCCCGCAGGTTGGATCTGGCCTGTGGACATGGAACCTCAGTTGCATTTGGCATTTTAATTTGCTTCAGCAACAGTTACTTTTCCCTGCCACTGTGGGGAAACGTGCCAGCTACTGGCATCCTCCTCATGCTGCTACAGGGAAAAGCAACAGCAGCAGCTGTGTTCTGGTGCCAGTCCCTTCCCTGCTTCTGACCTGAAATGGGTCACTCCAGCCTGCAGCCTAAAAAAGTTGCTGACTATTGACATACAATAATGTTGGAATTAATAACAATGAGAATCAATACACTTAACATTACCTCAAATTTTTCCTCTTCTGATCTCTCTCACATAGGTGACATTTTTCCAAGTTATGAGTTTTGTGCCACCATATCTCAGTCTGGAGCTCTGTTCCTGCATATATAATAGGAGATTCATTACTTCATGTTTTTACATGTAGTTCTTGTGTTTTAGAGAGATGTCGTACAATGTAATTACTTCTTTTCTTTTTTCTGCAATCACCTCCTTACCTCTGTATTTTCTCTCCAAGAGGTATATTTCATATATACCTTTCTTTCAATCTGTTTCTTTCAGATTTCTCATTTGACCCTCTTGGGGCACTGCGCACCCTCAACAGCTACTAAACACCTTTGACACTGACCCTGGGAATTGTCTACACAGACCTTTTTAATAATTTATTTAGATATTGTTAAAAATAACTATAGAATATGTTACACCAGTGAAACTGTTGTCCACATATTTTGCACACAGGCATTCTTCAGTGTGATCCTGGCTCAGTCAGAGACCAAATGCAAGTCTTCAGACTCTTTTCTCATGAATGTCAAAGAATCTTCCATGACCGCCTCATTAACAGTGAAGACAAACAGTACTTTCATTCCATGCTATCTGAAATGGCCAGTAAGGGGATCTGTTTATTCCATTTTCTATTGTATTATGCATTAAAATATATGAGACAAAAATATAACTAACCTAGGATTTTAATTTGCAGGCAAACATTTTGGAATCCCAGTTGACCCAGATTACTTTTTAAATAAACCAATCATATTTGGGGACTTTCTTAAAGTAAGTATTTCCTAAATCTAATTTTTCATAGACTGTTACATTATGGTTTTAATTTTAATTGCTTTGTTGAATATAATGTCAGGGTTTGTTAGTATCAGGGCAAACTGTGATATAACTGTATTATAAATGAATTATAATATTAATATTAATTTTATTATTAAATTAATCCAAACTGTACAGATCTATTTCACTCTTGGCATAATTAAAGACAGTACCACAAAAGTGAATGGAGGGGGTTTGGGGGTGGGAAGGGGCGGGGGTTGCATCCAACTGAGCATGACACTTTATGTTATATTTAGAAGAAAAATGATTCTTTCACATTTTGTAAAATACCTTCACCAAAATGAAATTTCACACTGTTGTCCTAGCTGTGGAAGACTTTTCAGGGAACTTGAGTATAGATGTAAATAGACAAAACTGTATGTGTAGTGCCAGAAATGGTCCTTGTATTAGGAGGATGTAAATAATCTACCTGAAAATTGAATAGAGTAGCTCATCTGTTTTTAGTGAGGGAAGTTGATGTTTTTTGAGCTTCTGTCACTAGTGACCAGTGACTTCCAAACAGGAGATAAGTGAAAGTAAGTGATCCTAATTACGGAACACTTGGCTGATATCAATTTGGTTCTTCTTTGGAGGCTTATTCCCTTCAGAATAAGTTGGGACCAGAGAGAGGTCAAGATAATTGGTTTCAACAGCTATTTCTCTTTACAGAATGCACTAACAATTACTAAGGGAGAGTAATTACTCTCTCTTTAAAAAATTGCTATACCAGCAGAAGAAAGAGATTTCAAATAGAATTCTGATCTTTAGAGTCTATGTAGAATTGATAGAAAAGGAAGCTGTCACTAGTACAGTTCATGCACACTAAGGACAAACTAAATCTTTAAAGCGTATTTTTAAACACTAATGGTATTTAGCAAAGAGATTATGCCAGGGAGAGATTGAAGCATTCAGTTAGCTAGATTAGAGAATAAAAGGGACAAATGTGAATAGTAACAAAAATATTCAGTGTATGGGCCACTAGGGACATGGGTCTCTCACAGAGAGTACACGTTTACTTTGCATCCCTATTTTCTTTGCATGGGGATAACTTTTTATTCTGCTTTTATTAATTTCTGCAAGTGATAACTGATGCCTTGTAAAGAAATCTTTTGCACTGAGCCTCAGGAAAAATCTCCTTTTGAAGCTAGCTGAGTAGGAAAGAATTCATGTGCCATTCAGGTGAAAACCACGCTTTAAAAGGCTAGAATAGGGGAGAGCAAAAATAGATGAATTCTTTGAAGTATTGGTAAGAATGATTTGGCAGGAACTGAGGTATGAAGCAGATTAAAAATAGGATTAGAACAACCCAGCTGGTTATTTTAACCCCAAATTTTAAAGATGTGGATTAGGATGGATGTTGTTTTAATGAACTGTTGAATGCAATTAAAATGGAGAAAAACCCAGAAAAACTTGCTGAATTTCCCCAGTTAACCTGTTGAATTGCTGTGTGCTCAGCACTTGAGGGCCAGATCCATAGTTGTTAATTAGGCTCCTAAACAGAATTTAGGCATTTATATAGCAAAAAATTATCCAAAATCTCTTACGTCAGTGACCACAAAACTGATTAGGCATCTACATTCATGCAGCATCTACATTTTGTACAACCAGTTTGAGTATCTCAGCTACCAAATTGCAGGAATTTCAGTACTAATCTATTTGCATATTTAAGTGTCCCCTCATTTGGATATCATCTATCTTATTCTCTGCATATAATTTCCATTTAGTTTGGGGCAGATAAAGCCGATCGGATATATGAAGATCTGACTGACATGGAAAAGATTGTACCAGTTTTGCAAGACTATCTGGATGATTACAATATAACAAATGCTAAGGAGATAAAACTGGTGTTCTTCCAGGATGCCATAGAGCATGTTTCAAGGTAAATACAATTAAGATTCTGGTAAGCTAGTTAATGCTGCAGAAATATTTCTATTTTAATGTAATGGTTAGCATTTACAAGTGAACTCAAGCTATTTTGAAAAGTATTTAAAATTGTGTGATCAGTCATAGGTTTATCCCCTGAAAGGATGTATTTTTTTAAAAATATGCATGGAATTAACCACAGAATTCTTGCTAAACAGAAATGTTATATTAATCCTATGATCTGTAAATATAAACAATATTAAACCTGAAATGGAGGGAGATAATGTTAAAATCAGGAAAAGAATGTAATTCCAGAATGAGCCCTGGATAATGAGTTTGTCTCAATAGATTGAGCAAGCAACCATCTCAGATAACTCTTTTATCATCCTGGTGCCCCTGAAATACTGCACTGCCTCAACATTTGTCATCCATGTGGACCTTGAAGTCACTGAGTACTATCAGTCTCTGTGACACTTATGCCCTCTAGATTTCTAAATATCATTTTAGGAATCTGACATAAAGCACTTCAAAGATCCACTTTAAGATGTGCCTGTTTCTGTAGCCAATGACATAACAGAGTGAAGTGGGCAGCTTCATGCCTGGCTGCCTTTGGCTCTCCAGTCTGAGTGACCACTTACCCATCTGGTCAAGTAGAAATGTCTTTGTGTGACAGAGCCTGTGCTCCAGCAGGGGCTATCTGTGAGCACTCTAGGAGGGGACCACCTCCAACTCATCTGCCATGTCTTTGGTGTTATGAAGAAAAAGGAGGGTGCAGCAGTGCTATTATGGGTTCCCCCCCAGGGGTTACTCATGGAGTGATGGATTGATGACTTGGGGCTCCACTTCCCCATCTCCCTGTCCACATGCCAGCTTCAGTATTGTCAAGGGTGCACTCCTCACCTGGTCAAAGCCATTGGGTTCCTTCCAAGGGATTAGTGCTAGAACTGTCAATGAAATCTTTTTCCCAGTCTCCTGTGAGGTGGCGGTAGGTTATACTGCTGCTGTCAAGACACCTGATCCCTGAGTATCAAAGGTAATTTTGTTGAGAAAAAAGGAAACAACATAAACATTAATATACTTCAAAGGTAGAAGTGTGGGATCCCCTTACTTCCTGGGTCCTCCCCAGATAAGTCTCTAAGGGTTCCCAAATACCCTGAGCCAAGATCTTTCTCTGGGTCTGGGTTGCCCCAATTCTCCCAGACCTCTGGCATGCCCTCAGTCAACATCCAGAAAATAATGCAAATAAAATGAGGCCTTCAAGCTCAAAACACTGCTTGCAAACAAGGAAACAAAACCCCTCTCAGGGTGCTCATAAAGTGGAAGTGAAGGTAAAACTGCATATGTAGTCCTTTCACTGGACTACACATGCTGAATCCCACAGGCTCCAGTGCTCAGCTTTCTCAGGGCTCCCTCTCGGATCCTCCCCAGGTAAGTCTCTAAGGGTTCCCCTGAACTCCTTAATGCCCACTTTGCTATGATATTTCACCAGACCATGAGGAATGTCAAGCAAGAGAAGGCTCATAGGGGACATGCCAAGACTGACAGCCTCCCCACTGTGGATGCTGAGTGGGTACAATACCAATAAGAAAAGCTTGACATTTATAAGTCAGCAGGACCAGATAGACTCCATCTGAGAGTGTTGCAGGAGCTGACTGGGGTCATCACAGAACCCCTGGCAAAGCTCTTTCAGAATTTGTGATGCACCAGGGAAATCCCTGACAACTGGAAGGGGGCCATCGTGCCCATCTTCAAGAAGGTGAAGAGGGAGGACCCAGGCAACTCTAGGCAATCAACCTGACCTCCATCCCAGGGAAAATCCTGGAAAAGCTCATTAAAGAATGTATGTGTAATGCGCTCGCAGAAGGCAAGATTCTGAATGCCAGGCAGCATGGCTTTGTTGCGGGTAGGTCTTGTCTTATCAATCTCATCTCCTTTTATGATCAGGTCTCTCACCAGCTGGACACAGGAGATGTGGTAGATGTTATATACCTAGACTTCCAAAAGGTTTTTGATCTAGTATCCCATGATATCCTTGTGGGAAAGCTGGCAGACTGCAGGCTCAACTGCTTGACAGTTCAGTGGGTGGGAAACTGGCTACACGGTAGGACCTAGAGAGTTCTCATGAACAGATCTGTGTTGTCCTGGCATGAAGTGGCCAGTGGTGTCCCTCAGGGATCTGTGCTTAGACCAGTGCTTTTCAACATCTTTATCAATGATTTCGATGGGGGAGGGAAAAGCTTGCTGGCCAAGTTTGCAGACGACACCAAGTTATGGGGCAGTGAGGTCATGTCAGATGGTAGGTTGCAGATACAGGCAGACCTGAACAGGCTTAAGAGTTGGGCAGACCGGAACCAGATGAAGTTTAATACTTCCAAGTGTAAGGTGCTCCATCTGGGAGCAAACAACCTGCAACATACGTATAGGCTTGGTGGCGACAGCTTGACTTGAACCATGGTCGAAAGGGACCTAGGGATAATGATCGACCATCATATGAATACGAGCCATCAGTGTGAGGCAGTAGCTAGGAAGACAAACAACACACTGCATGCATGAACCATTGCATCTCATGTAAAACTAAGAAAGTGATACTCCTGCTGTACTCAGCACCGGTGAGACCTTATTCTGAGTACTCCATCCAGTTCTGGGTGCTGCACTTCAATAAGGATGTGGAAAAACTTTACAGGCCCCAGAAAAGAGCCACCTCTATGATCAGGGACTTGCAAAACAAGCCACATGAGGAAAGGCTGGGGGACCTGGGCCTCTTTAGCCTAAAGAAAAGAAGGTTGAGAGGGGACTCGATAGTGGCTTACCGCTATATCAGAGGAGGGCATCAGGAGCTTGGTGAACAACTGTTCACTAGGGCACCCCCAATGAATATAAACTCCTGGAATGCCACTTCAGGCTTAATACCAGGAAAAACTCCTTTACAGTCAGGGTGTCCAAACTGTGGAATAAACTCCCTCCAGAGGTTGTTCAGTCACCTGCCCTAGAGGTTTTCAAGAAGAGACTAGACAGTCACCTTGCTGGGGTCTCCAAACCTCAGTTGTCTTCCTACCTAGAGCAGGGGGCCTGGGCCCAATGATCTGCAAGGCCCCTTCTAGCCCCTAACAATCTATGAATCCTGAATGTATGAAAAGTCCGAACCAAGATCCTGTCACACTTTGCCACAAACCACGGAAAAAGGTTTAAACGTGGACTTTTAGAGCAGGGGTGAAAAATGATTTGGGCCGAAGGGACACTTAGGGAGATTGGGTGAACTGTCATGGGCTGGGGCAGGCAGAAGCCTGCATCTCCTACCCCATCCCAAGTCCCTGGCATGTGGCTGGATCAGGCAGGAGCCACACCAGCTGCACCCATGTGACTCAAAGCAGCACATGGGAACACAATGTGGCATCGGCCCAACCCAGCTGCATGCCAAGGACTCAGGGCTGGGAAGAGGGTGCAGGAAGAAGGGGGAACACAATGTAGTACCAGCCCAGTCAGGCCCAGATAACCTGTGGTTCCTGGCTGCCTTCTCCCTGAACCCCCTCCTCTACCCCAAGGGTCCATTGCACAGCCAGGTCAGGTAGGAGCTGCTCCAGCTGCACCCACATGGCCTAAGGCAGTATGCAGCATGGCACAGCCCAGCCCAGCGGCATGCCAGGGACTCCAGGCAGTGGAGGTGGTGTGGGGACAAAGGGTAACAAAGATTAGGGTCCCTTAACCTTTGTCCACTTACCTCTCTGCCCTTAGATCAGGAGTGGACAATTTTTTTTTTTTATCTGGAGGGCCACTTAGGGAGTTTTGTTAAGCTGTTAGCAGGGTGGGGAAAGTTGGCCCAGCCTGCAACAACTCACCAAAACTCCTTAAGTGGGTCTCCAGTCCAAATAATTACCCACCCCTGTGTTAAATGCACCTAAAACATGAACATCTGTGCATTCCAACAGTAACATATGTGCTAAAGTACCTCATATCATAGCAAACATATGACAAGGAGTATCTCCAGATTGTTTAACTAACATGTTCAGCTACTGTCAGCCTGCTCTACAGAGACAATAATAGCAATTTGCAGTTCTCCAGCATCTCAGGATGCACTGCTTCCAGCTCCCCCACTTTCATTCCAAGAGCCACTCTATACAACCACCCAAACTCTACTGCCCAGGTGGATGGTATTGACCTCAAAGTGACACCCTCATCCATGCGAGGGAAGTGTGGTCTCAGCCCAAATGGCATCACTCTGAGCGCCCATTAAAAGCCTGAAGGTTCATTGAGGTCTGTCACTTGTTTGAGCACTCCACTGCAAATGGAGAACACTGAGCTTTGTGAACCAAACTGAACGAGAGAATGTTGTCCTTGGAACCCTGCAGAAGAGCCATGCACGGGACTCAAGGAGGTGCTGCACCTCATCACACTCTAGGGCAAGGAAAGAAACATCACCAATACTGCAAAGGGGAGAAAAGCAGCTAGTAAAACTAGGCAGTCCATGAGCGTGTCATGGCCCAGATAGCGGCTCAAGGGCACCAGTAAGACTAGCAGCTGATCCTCGCTAAAATGAAGTACACAAAGTCACAGTATGTTTGAGACAGGGATGCAAACAAGGTCACAAGCACCACAAGAACATTGGTCCCCTACTATGATGTGCTGTCAAGGATCCTTGAGGCAGACCACACCATTGCTCTCTATCACATATAGCTGAGCTAGTAGGGAGCCGCGCAGCGCAAACAGAGTGTGCAAACAGGCACGCTCTGTAAGAGCGCGCCGGCGTTTGTGCAGGCGGGCGGGCAGGAAGGGCCAGGAGAGAGACTCCTGTATGGGTAGGGTGTAGACACCAGACAGATCTACAAACAGCAGCTTATAGAATGGTGTCGACGAGGAGTGCTGATAGGGCCTCTGCCCAGGGGGCCAAGCCCACCCGGGGCTTGTCTGAGGCCTCCACCCAGACTGAGCCCATGGGGGAGCTGATGTCCCCCTACCTCCTGGCCTGCGGGGGATCCCCAGCAGGGTCGGGGGGGCAGAGATTGGGGGCCCCCACACCTG